AAAAATAAGAGTTATTTATTCAAGGTGCCCTCAGAGCCAGAGCTCATATAGTATTCATTGCAACTTTTACAAAGGTGTATACTACATATTCCTTGCTTTCAAGTATCTGATAGTCTAATTGGAGATATGAGATATGTGTCCAACTATTTGAACTACCATAACAAAATTCCTGAGAGACTGAGTAATTTATGAAGAACAGAAACCTATTTTCTCACAGTTCTGAAGACTGGGAAGTTCACAAGGTGTGGTGAGGTTGGTTGTCTGGTGGGAGCTGCTCTCCATTTCCAAAACGGCACCTTGTTGCTGCATCTGCCAGAGGGGAGGAACTCTGTGTCCTCACATGGCAGAAGGTGGGAAGACAACGCGTGGAGCCTCTTCTATGAGGGCCTTAAACACACTCATGAGGGAGGAGTCCTAACGGCCTCATCATGTCTTAAAGGCCTCACCTCTTAACGCCATCGCATTGGCCATTAAGTTTCAACACATGGATTTTGGAGGGCAGATGTTCACACTATAGAAGGATATATTCATCAAAATAGAAAACAATTAACAATAAAATATGTTGTATTTAAATAGTGCCCAAACTGTGGTACAAACACAGAATAGCAGTTATATACAAGATAACGAGTAGGTCCTTGTCACGTGTGGCGTGAACTAGTACCTGATCATCTACGAGTCACCAAGCCTCTAGTATCTCCCTATGGAATCAACATTCCTCAAACCACAAATGATCGTATTTCTTCAGCTCAAAAATTTGAGTCCCCTAAAGAATAAGCTGCCTCTTACCACTCCCAATTAACGGGCCTCGACCTGCCCTTCCCATGTCCTATCTCCTACCACCACTATCACCTCCCTTGTCCTCAGACACACACTCTACAGTGTCAGCCAAGCTACACCACTTACAATATCCCAAAACTACACCATGACTTCTTTTCCCTTGCCACTATTAACATTGTCACTTTGTCTAGAATGTCCATCATATCTGGATTGTATCCATTCACCAAAACAAGTCCAAGTGCTACCTGCGATGCTTCCCTGCTCCTTCAAGTAAGTAGTAGCTCCTTTATTTGGACCCCCACCTCACTGTATCTGCATCCCTTTAAGGCGCTTATTTATAAATAATATGAATATATTTATATTTATATAATAAACATATATTTTAATATATGTGAAATACATTTTTATATATTATATATGTTTAGATATGTAAATGTATATATACACACACACACACATAGAGCATTCAGAGAAAGAAATGTATTTTAGACATTAGTAAAAAATATATGCATACACTGGCCGGGCGTGATGGCTCACGCCTGTAATCCCAACACTGGGAGTCCGAGGCGGGAGGATGACCTGAGGTCAGGAGTTCGAGACCAGCCTGGCCAACATTGTGAAACCCAGTCTCTACAAAAATACAAAAATTAGCCAGACCTGATGTCAAGTGCCTGTAATCCCAGCTACTCAGGAGGCTAAGGCAGAAGAATCACTTGAACCAGGGAGGCAGAGGTTGCAGTGAGCTGAGATCACACCATTGCACTTTAGCCTGGGCAACAGAGTGAGACTCCGTCTCAAAAAAAATAAATAAATAAAATTTAAAAAAAAATATATATATATATATGAATACACACATATATTATTTCCTAAGAATATGAGATCTTAGGTCAGAATTGCTCTCCATCTTCACATCTCCCCTAACCCCTAACATGGTGCATTCCACAAGGCAAGCCACAATAAAGACGGTCACGGAAAGCAGGCCAGATAAAGATAGAATGGACTTTCCACCTCATCAATCATCCTAATACCAACAACTTCTGTAACTGAACATACACGCTTTTTAAGAAACATATTCAAAAAGTATATATATGTGCTGAGAAAGTGAGGTATTAATAACTACACTTTAAAACAACAAAATTAGCAGGGCATGGTGGCCCAAGCCCGTAATCTCAGCACTTTGGGAGACTGAGGCGGGTAGATTGCTTGAGCTCAGGAGTGCAAGATCAGCCTGAGCAACATGGCAAAACCCTATCTCTCCAAAATCAACAGTCAGGTGTGGTGGCGTTCGCCTGTGGTCCCAGCTACTCGAGAGGCTGAAGTGGGAGGATCGTTTGAGCCCAGGAGGTTGAGGCTGCAGTAAGCCAAAATCATGCACTGGACTCCAGCATGGATGACAGGGTGAGACCCTCTCTCAAATAAATAAATAAAATGAAACCAAAAAATCAACTTGAACTAAACCCAAAAGACTTTAAAGGAGGAAACCCTGCTTAAACGATAAAATGTGATCCCAAAGTAAATGTTAACATAAACAAGAGGTCACCCTCAACAGAAATCAAACTAGCAATCAGAGTGCCATGGGTACTGTATATGCACTGTCAAGGCTTGGCAAAATTCACAATAAAGAACTGAGCATGTCACAGCAAAACAAATTCTATCCCATTTCTAATAGCAAGATTTAAATTCAAGACTTAATGTGAAGCTAGGCACAGAAAATATAAGATCTAACATATTAAATATTAAAAGGCCAGTCTTTATATAAGAATTTGACAAAAATAAAATCAAAATGGCATGATTTTGTTATTGTAATATGTTTATTTTATAATCAAAAATGTTTTGTTGTAATAAATTGTGTAATTATTTGCAGCATATAGGATTACATTCAATACTATAAAATGTAAAGACCTCTAACTTCACATATAAACATTCAACTATATCCAAAATAAAACAGAAGTCTATTATCATTTCAGATTACCTACTGTTAATATTTTTAAATTATTTTTAAATTTTTAATTTAATATTAAATATTTAATTTTTAAATTAAATTAATATTTTTAAATTTTTAAATTTTTTTAGTTAGCCAGATTTTTGAAACTGATCATCAAATTTCTTAAGGATAAACAACTAACTCTTAAACAGAGCCACACAAATCAAAAGGAGTAAGTTAAAAGTATTATATTTATTCAATACTAAATAATAACTTTACCTATCATTTCCTGAAAACCTACCATGTGCTGAATATTTAATCCTCAAAACATCCTGGGGCTCACTAAATATTCATTTCAACTCCCTTTTGTCTTTTTTTAAGAAAGATTTTTTAAAAAACTAAAGAGAACTTCTATAAGTGAAAAATATAACCATAAAATCTAAAATCACGATAACTAATTTAAAAAGGAGATGCAGCACAAAAGAATTTATAATATAGGAAACATATCGGCAAAAATTAACCAGAATATAGATTTTTTTCAAAATAAAATCATATGTATCAGTAATTTACTATATTTATAAAAGATCTCAAAAAGTGTTTCAAACTACTTTCTTCAGTAAGTACATGTATTTATACAGAAAAAATTAAAACAATATTTTACTTCTCTCTTTTCCACAAAAACAAAGTAAGGGGGGAAAGGAGAGAGGGAAAAAATTAAAGGTCATTCTAGGAGACCCTACATCTAGATAACAGAAATCCCAGAGAATTTAAGAAAAAGAAAAAGAAGAGGAAATAATCAAAGAAATAATTCAAAGAATTTTCTCAAAAGTGAGATTTTTGACTATCCAAAGTGAAGGGCCAGCACTGTGGATATTAGTAAACCTATGCCAAGTCATAACATGGTCAAATTTCAGAAAACGGGGAAAAAAAGAAAATCTTACATTCCAGAGAGAAAGAAGACAAAAAGCAGAGAAAGAAAGAAACATGGGGTTTATACTACGATGACATTCTCAAGAGCAACACTACTAGAAGCTAGAAGAAAATAGAAAAATACCTTCAAAATTTTATAGAAAAAGTATTTCCATCCTACAATTCTATTCAGTCAAATGATCAATTAAGTGCATGAAGATAAAATGAAGCCATTTTCAGATATGCAGGGCTTCAAAACAATGTATTTCCCATGTACCATTTCTCAGGAAGTTACAGGAGGTTGTGACCCACCAAAACAGTTAAATAAACCAAGAAAGAAAAAAAAAAAAAATCTAAGGAACAGGTCATGCAACCAGAGAGAAATAGGGAAGCAATCTTCTGCATAACGGTGAAGTGAAATTCCAAGACAATAGCTATGTGGCAGGTGTTAAATCAAAACTGGAGCAGATCAGAAAGTTCTGAGATCTCCATCCCTGGCCATACCACACTGAATGCACCTGATCTTGCATGATCTCAGAAGAAAGTTCTGAGACCTCTTCAAGATGATCAAACAGCACACCTAAAAGGAGGTTTATACTATGGAGGTGAGTTTAGGGGAAAGTCTGTGATAAGTACATTTCAAAACATGGCAAATTAAAAAGAATTATTAACTACAAGGAGAATAAACAAGTAAGAAGTTACCAGGTGGGTCTTCCTATAGCATACAAAGCCCTGCATGATTCAGCACTCACCGCGTTCTCTTTGACCTCACCTTATTACTCTGGATCACAATCTGCTTCAGCCTAACTAGCTTCACTGCTGTTCCTAAAAATGCCAAGCACACTTCCAACTCAGGGCTTTTGCTCTGGCTATTCCTGCTGCATAGAATACTCTTCTCCCAGATACCTAAAAACTACTAATACCCTTACCTACTGCAGGTCTTTGCACAAATGTCACTTCCTCAGTGAGGGTCATGTGGCCACCGTATTTCAAACTAGAACTTGCACCCTACTCTCCCAGCCTTCCACTCTCCATCTCTGATTATTTTTTCCCATAGTACTTAGCTCCTCGCATACTTTATATTCATTGTTTGTTGTCTGTCATTCCCTCAAAAAGTTCCAGGAGGAAGATACACCCTAAGCACCTGGAACAGTATGTGGCACAGAGTAGGAAATCAATATATGCTTGTCAAATGAAAAAATGAATAAATAAAAATGGAAAATCATTGAAATCATGAAATACTATACAAGCTTCTTGTCTCACCTATAAGTATCATCTACATAATAGTTTATTCTATCTGAATAAATATAGTTTATTCTATCTGAATCTATGCCAACATTTCTATGTCCACCTAATATTCCACTAAATATGAGAACAAATGGTTACTTACCTGTGACCAGGGTGGTAAATAGCTGTGTTGATTCCATGAGGATAATGACTACTGAAGCTGAAACAGTGACTTTCTTGGTAGCTCTGATTTGTTCCAACACTAAATTTAAGAAGGTAAGAAAGAAGTAAATACCATTAAACCACAATGAATATCACTAAATACCCAATAAAGTATTTAGAATTTAAAAGACAGACAATACCAAATATTGCTGAGGATATAAAACAACCAGAACTCTGATACGTTATGAGAAGGTAACTGATAAAATCATGTGGTAAAAAGTGTAGTTTTTTATAAAAATAAACTACATCTCCCCTATGACCCAGCAATCCCACGTGAAGATAATGACCCAAGAGAAATGAAAATGTATATCCACAAAGACTTGTACAAGAATGGTTGTAACAGCATTATTTGCAGTGGCCCAGAACTGGAAACAAGGTTCTATCAATAGAAGAACAGATTTTTTAAATCATGAGCTATTCATACAATAAAATACTAATCATCAATAAAAAGGAATAAACTAGTGATATACGTAAAAATATGAATAAATCTCAAAATATGATGAATGAAGGAAGACTTAGACAAAAGAGTACATACTACAGTCATTCCTAGGCATCCTTGGGGGACTGGATTCAGGATGCTCAGAGGATAACAAAACCTGCAAACGTTCAAGCCCTTGATATAAAATGACATAGTAGGCCGGGCGGGGTGGTTCAGGCCTGTAATCCCAGCACTTTGGGAGGCCGAGGTGGACGGATAATAAGGTCAGGAGATTGAGACCATTCTGGCTAACACAATGAAACCCTGTCTCTACTAAAACTACAAAAAATTAGCCAGGCTTGGTGGAGGGCACCTGTAGTCCCAGTTACCTGGGAGGCTGAGGCAGGAGAATGGCATGAACCCAGGAGGCGGAGCTTGCAGTGAGCAGAGATCACTCCACTGCACTGCAGCCTGGGTGACACAGCAAGACTCCATCCCAAAAATAAATAAATCAATAAATAAAAATAAAATAATAAAATAAAATGCCATAGTATTTTCATATAACCCGCACATATCCTCCTGTATACTTTGAATAATCTCTAGATTCCTTATAATACCCAAGACAATGTAAATGCTATGTAAATAGTTGTTATGCTATATTGTTCAGAGAATGACAAGAAAAAGTCTGTACATGTTCAATACAGACACAGTTTCCGAATGTTTTCAATCCACAGTTGATCAAATCTACAAATGCAGAACCCACAGATACAGAGGGACGACTGTATATTATTCCATTAACAAATTTTTAGAATGGGCAAAACTAATCTGTGATTTGAAAAAAAATTTAAACACTAGTTGTTCTGGGAGTGGGTATGGAAAGAGATTTATTGGGAAGGGGTGTGAGGGAACTTTCTAGTATGATGGTAATGTTCCGTATCTTGACAGAGGTTTGAATTGCACAAATGTACACATTTGTCATAACACACTAGCTGGTACAATTAAGATGTATGCATTTCACTTCATGCAAATTTTACCTCAAAATGAAGAAAACTATAAGCAAATATTAAACTCTAATTAATAATATGCATGCTAAAGCATTTGAGTACTGATATCTCCAAGTCACTATGAAATGATTAATAGCTGGATAGAGGGGTGGATATATGAATAGAAATATGATATAGCAAGCACAGTAAAATCTTAATTGTAGAATCCAAGTGGAAGTAATGGGTGTTCACCACACCACCCTTTCAACTTCCCTATTATATTTGCAATTTTTCATAATAGGCAGAAAGGAAAAAAAAGAAATATCAAAATCTGACATTAAACCAGAGAAATAAATAATATTTCAAGTATGGCTTCCCAAAGTACATTTTTACCTTACAAGGTAACTTCTAAGTTCTCCTCGGTAATTGATGACCAGGAGTTCTGCAGACCACTGTGCACTTGCTTTATATTCTAAAAAGATCAACCCAGCAATGGCATAGCTTAAATCACCTATAAAACTAGATGCCTACAGAAGAGGAGGAAATTAAGTTACTAAAAAAAAACTAGATAAAAGTTGACACATTCATAATCAGAGAATATCTGATATACTGGCTTCAGGTACACTTCATGCAAGATAACTTCAGAATTGCTCTGTATACTCAAGAATCATGCAAGTCAGAATGCCTAGATCTAGATACTCAAATCTAGACCATCCCTCTCAGACACAGGCTGAAACCATAGCAATCCCTTTAAAGAAGATGTTCACCTACATAGTAAATTTCTATTCATATTTTATGTCAATTACAGAAAAAAATAAAGATAATGCCACCATTCAGCCTCTAAAAACTCTAAGAACTTGTTTAAAGATAGAAGCTTCCAAATGTTAACTTCCGCTGCCAGCAACAGCCTGTGGTAAAAAAAAAAACAAGTCTCCAGTTTCCATTTGCCTGATCAGCAACCTAAAGGAAACGACACATAAAATACTCACTCAATGTTAACCTTTCTCCATTAACTAAATACCAGGCTAAACTGCTAAAGATTTGAAGGCCTGTACACCTTGGGAAGCACACAAAATAAAGCTTATCACCCATGAAGGGGATTCGAATATGCCAACCCAAAATATGCCACTTTGGCATAAGGATTATTTTGAGCTGAAGGCAACTGAGAATCAACAGATGCAGGAAAAATTCTTTGCCCTCCCCTTAAATGCCTAAAAACAAGGCATAAATTTCTCTTTGTGAAAGTGCTCCTCAGTACCAGGAGGAGGAGATGGACTCATCCCTGGAGACCGGAAGTCATATCAAGATGAGTCTGTGCAAACAGACTTTATTAAAATCCCCTTCTTCCATGAATTTGTCCATGCATTTCTTAGTCACTTTCCCACAACTTACCACCTGAAAAAGCCAAAATTCCCTTTCCTTTGTCTAGTCACGTCTCAACAATTTATATTCCTTTATTAAAAAAGTATATAAGACTGGATGGGGTGGCTCACATCTGTAATCCCAACACATTGAGAGGCCAAGGTAGAAGGACCACTTGAAGCCAGGAGTCCAAGACCAGCCTGGACAGCAAAGCAAGATCCTATCTCTACAAAAAGTTTAAAAGATTAGCCAGGTGTGGCTTCACTGTGATCACTATCATTACACCACTGTGCTCCAGCCTGGGCAACAGCAAGACTCTATCTTTAAAAAAAGAAAAAATGGTATATAAGCCTGAGTCTAACCACTTCTTTGAGTTTTCACGTCTTTTCTGAGAAGCTCCCTGTACATGTAAAAACATTAACATCAATAAAAACTCTACAACTTTTCTCCTGTTAATCTGTCTTTTGTCAGTTTAATTTGCAGGCCCCTACTGCTAAATTTAAGCAGGCAGAGAAAAAGTTTTTCCTCCCAAACCCCCCTGAATGGTTCCTCATTGTCTAGAACCACACAGTGAACACTTAATACATGGCTAGTCCGAATTGAGATATGTCATAAACATAAAAATACACATCAAATTTCAAAGATTTAAAATCAAAGAAAGAGCATAAAATATCACATTAATAATGTTTTATATTGATTACATGTTGAAATAATATTTTGGATATATTGGATGATATAAAATATAGTATTAAATAAATTTCACCTGTTTCTTATTTCAGTTTCTCATTGTTAAATAAACTTAAATAACAGTTACTGTTAAATAAACTTCACCTGTAGTTATCGTATATGTGACCAAATATAAAATTACATTTGAGCACACATACAGCTCGCATTGTATTTCTTTTAGCCAGAAACAGTCTAGAAAATAAGAACCCAGACTCCTTAGTTTGGCTAAGATTCCCAGAATATGAGCACAACACACATTTTTAGTTTCTCCACTCATTATTTCTGAAAAAAATCATTCTCTCTATCATTGGTTTTCAACCCTAGCTTCTCACCAGAATCAGCTGAAAAGCTTATGAACGATATTAATACCCAGGCCCCACACAGATCACATGAATCAGAATCTCTGTGAGTAGAGCCTGGGCAATCTGGTAATTCGTTTTTTTCTTTTCCTTTTGCTTTATAAGCAAAGGACAGATCACTGCCTTCTTTCCATCACTAGAGCTTTATAACAACTTTCTGTACCTATATTTAGTGTTTACTTACTACCACGTGGTTTACATCTGGATAATCCCCAGGTGATTCTAAGATACAGCCAGAGTGAGAACCACTGTTCTAGCTGACCCTGTATCTTGTTCAGTTGATGAAGAAGGATACAAACTAAAAAGCATTAGATTCCTAGAAGAGACACTATTAACAGAATTGTCATACAAAAGTCATTTTGTTCCCACTCAATCTTAGTTTTCTAGACAAAATGAGAACAACGTCTGCCCAACCTACTCAAATGGCTGCTGTGAATATAAAATCATTATATCAAAGGCATTAATAAAGAATAAACTAGTACACAAATACAAATTACTACTACCATTTGTTTTTCTCTACTCTCCTTTTCAATTTCTATTTCCTGTAAGGTAACAAATTCCAACTCCTCTTGAAGTTGTTCCTGTTGCAAGAGACCACTGACTTCTTTCCATCACTAGAGCTTTATAATAACTTTCTGTACCTATATTTAGTGTTTACTTACTACCACGTGGTTTACATCTGGATAGTGTATCACAAAATACAAGGAATAAATATTGCATGTATATAGATTTCTGACTAGATTCTGGACATCTTAAGTCCACAGCTTATTATTCTGATTTATATTTGTATTATCCTCCCCTTCACCCTCTTTTATTCAAGTATCTATACATACATGACATTGAAAAAACTATGTTTTCAATTTAAGCTATGTACATACCGGGGAAATGACAAAGAGTTCACTTCCCATGAGATCAAACACCCTCACAGTTCCTGTGCTTTCAGCATAGGCCAGTAGGGTACAATCATAACTCCATGCTACCCGTCTCCACTGGGGTTTCGGGTCTTTCGGAACTAGAACAAAAGAGACAAGAGGTGCTTTTAACAATATATTACAAAGACAGTTAACGCTTTTAGTAACTGCAACTAAAGTAAGTATTCAAGTATAATAATTACATCATCTCCTAAGGATCTCTAATAATGCTTCCCTCAATAAAAAAGAGCAGTTTCCAGAAACACACTTCAAGTAAGAGTGGGAAATACAAACCACTGCCAACTATGCCCTATTTATTTTAGAAGCAAAGTCTACTGATGCATGGTCTGAAGAATGCTGAGCAGCCCCTGGTCTGGTAAAGGCCCAGGAATAATACACCGCAAAATACCTGTAATATTGAGAGAGATCCAAAGCATACAGAATGGGCAGACAATACTAACAATTCCAATCCAATGAGTTTCACTCCTCTAAAAGCAAAAAATAAAAATTGCAACTTGATCTTTTAAATACATCAAATACAGATGCCAAGATACAAATTGGGACTACACTAACATTGTATTAGAAAGGGGAGGAATATATACACATATATATACACACATATACATACATATACAGAAAGAGGCAGGTAAATCAAGGACTCATGAGTCAATCACACAATTTCAAGATTTTGATAACATCTTAATAATTCTAATAACTCAACAACTGAACTTTTTTCTGTTCTGAATTTTCAGTAAAATGGAGAGAAAGGCTACCAGCTGCAAAAGAAGAAAAAGAGGATGTGAAATTCTAAGTCAGATTTGTTTGAGGTTTTTTATTGTTGTGTTTTGTTTGCTTCGGTTTCCTCTTATTGGAATTTCAGAACTGAAGAGTCAGGTAGACAGATAAGTGTTCTTCCTTTCCCAACAAGAATTCAAAATGATTAGGAGATTCAAGGTGACACCCCGAGTCAAGAGTAGAACAAAACCCAGAACATCAGCATCCTGTCTTCCCACGCAGTGCAGGTGGCATTACAACATGCCGCCTCTCCACCAGGGCCTTACAATTGCCTCAAAAATGCTCCAGCAATGTATGGCCTCCTCTTGATGCCTCTGCTACTATCCCAGCTCAGGTCTCACCATCTCCTGCTTGGCCTACTAACAGGTCTTCCGCCGTCTGTCTCTTCCCTTCTATTCCTTCCTCCATATTGTCAAAATGATATCTTTCTAAAATAACAAGATAAGCAGATCACATTCTTCTGCCACTTTAAAATCCCTGAAGGTTCGCCATTTCCAACAGAACCAAGTCCAAACTCCTCAATATATATGAAAGGCCCGTCACAAAAGGCCCCATTGTAGCTTTCCAGTTTTGCCTTCTACCACTTTCTCTGTCAAATACCTAATAACCCACTCATACCACACCAACCTGGCAAATGAGCAAATATGTGCCTTTTTTTTTTTTGAGACAGAGTCTTACTCTGTCGCCCAGGCTGGAGTGCAGTGGCGCAATCTCAACTCACTGCAACCTCCATCTCCTGGGCTCAAGCAATTCTCCTGCCTCAGCCTCCTGAGTAGCTTGGATTACAGGCATGTGCCATTACGCCTGGCTAATTCGTTTGTATTTTTAGTAGAGACGGGGTTTCACCATGTTGGCCAGGCTGGTCTCGAACTCCTGACCTCAGGTAATCCGCCTGCCTCAGCTTCCCAAAGTGCTGGAATTACAGGTGTAAGCCACCGTGTTCCACCCATATGTGCATTTTATACATATTGCTGCTCTACCCAGGCTGTTCATCTCCACTCTTACTCATCCTTCCAGGTCTAGTTTGTTACCCCCTCCTTCCTTGACACTCTTGAAAACTGGCTGCTCTGTGACCCCAAATATTCTGTACACACCTCTTGCATAGCATTTATCACATCATATTATTGTTTACATAATTATTTGCCCCACAAGTCTCTGAGGTCATTGAAATCAGAAACAATGTCTTACTCAACATTCTATTCCCAGGATCTGGAACACAAAGTGATTAATGTTTCACTAATGAGTGACACCTATGTCTCTCAGAAAAAAAAATCTCTATTAACATGGCAAGGTAATGGTAAGGACCATCCCTCCAGGACTACCAGTGAAATGTGAATTCTATAACGGAAGTCATCTATCTACCTAAAAGAAATAATGTGTAGAGTTCAGACTTCCCTTTACTTCTCTAATATACATTGTGGGAATATATGGGGAAAGTTTCTTCATTTTACAAGTTTCTTTATTTTGATTATTGATCAATAGTTTAAAAGCACACAAAAAAATCCCAGAGAGGTCATTCAGCATGGATAAGTCTAATTAATTTTATTAAAGCCGAACAAGATACTGCATACACTCTGGAACAGCCATTTTTGTAAGTGGGAATAACTTTTTAAAAAAAATCAGTTCCCTGTCTTTAGACTGCTAAAATAAAAAACCAAACTTCAAAGCAGACATAGGTGCAAAATAACATAGGTGCAAAATAACAAAAGAATAAAAAACTGGCAAATGCACAGATGCTACATAAAAACCAGCAAGATGACAATTTTGCCCTGAAAAATATTTATGTGCTAAGGAAACACTGCCATGTGATAACAGATTTTTTCTCTTATTTCATTTTGATAAGATAAATAGATTCTATGCACTACACTGCATCTGCAAGGGATTTGCTTTTACCATTATTTCTAGTTATAACCAGTAACTCCAGAAAACTCAGCATGTGTTTTGACCCAGATAAAAATACATTTTCGTTACAAGATAAGATTTCACGTAACAATGTGGAAATAAAGACTTTATCACTGGATTTTTCCAGTTGCTCGTGTGGCTTGGGAAAGAAATGAACAGTACAGATTTTTACAAAGCAGGTGTCAATGAAGTTGTCTGAAAAGTAAGCAAAAAACACTGATGGTAAAAGTTAACCAGCAAATTGACAACTGATATGTGCAAGGTGAAAAAGTTTACACCCCACTCATAATTTCATCAGCTGTAGCTCTTCAAATCTGCCCAATTGCCAAGCTCTTTCCCACCTCAGTGCTTTTGTAGATGCTATTTTCTCTGCCTGGAACGCTCTTTCTCTAACACTTCACTGGCTTTTTTTCATCTTTCAAGCTTCACTTTAAATAGCGCTTCCTTAGAAGGCATTCTGTGACCACCCTAAGTAGCCTCTGAGCCCCATTATTTTTCACCAGTCCAATGATTTCATGTCCTTCACAGCTCTTACACCAAATAATTATACATTTGTTCGTTATATCAGTCCGTTTTCATGCTGCTGATAAAGACATACCTGAGACTGGGCAATTTACAAAAGAAAGAGGTTTAATTGAACTTATAGTTCCACATGGCTGGGGAAGTCTCACAATCATGGCAGAAGGCAAGGAGAAGCAAGACCCGTCTTACACATATGGCAGAAGACAAAGAGAGAATGAGGAAGATGCAAAAGCAGAAACCCCTGATAAAACCATTAGATCTCGTGAGACTTATTCACTATCACGAGAACAATATGGGTGAAACTGCCACCCATGATTCAATTATCTCCTACTGGGTCCCTCCCGTGACAGTGGGAGTTATGGGAGTACAAATCAAGATGAGATTTGGGTGGGGACACAGAGCTAAACCATATCATTTGTCAGACTTTTTACTGTCTGCCTTATTCGTTAATCTATAAATTCCAAAATATCAGGAGCTGTGTCCATTTTGTTCATAACGTTTATGACCAGTGCCTAGTACTCTGGTGGGACATAACAAACACCCAAATTCTCAAGGAGCAGACTTCAGTCCAGTGCCCATTTACCCAAACTAGAAATGGAAATGAGCAAGAATTTAAAAATAATAAACACTGGGTTCTCGTCTCAGTGCTACCACAAGACACCTGGGTATGACCTGGGTATGGCCTCAGTTTCCTCATTTTCATAGTGAATTCAATGAACAATCTCTCATATATGTACATTCTTTACTTCCAAGTTAAGAACCAGTGAGCAAGGGCAAACTAGTGGGAATGGAAAGACATCAGAGAAGCAACATATGTAAATGTTTAATAGCGTCGCCAGAAGAACACAAGAGAAAAACCTTAACAATTATGCAATAAGAAAGGCCTAAATATAAGAAATTCTGACTTTATAAAGAAAAAAGTGACAAATGGTAGATGGAGGGAGGGAGGGAGGAAGGAAGGAAGGTGGGAAAGAGGGAAGGAGGGAAGGAGGAAAAGAGGAAAAGGAGGAAAGGAGGAAGGGAGGGAGGGAATTCTCTATGGAAAAAGATGCCACAACAAATTTAAAACAAATCAATTGGGTAAAAACAATAGCCATAAACTTTGCAAATTTGAAGAAATCTACAAAACTGCTTATCTAGAAGCTTAATGAACTTAAAGCAGGATAAACTCGAAAGCCATCAAGGCACATGATAATCAATGTCTGACAAACAACAACAAAGAGAAAATTTTAAAGCAGACAAAGGAAGGACAGACACCTTATATCTAAGGAAACAATAGCAATGACTCCCAAGTTCTTGTCAAAAACAAAACAATGACATCTTTAAACAGCTGAAAGAGCCAGGCTCAATGGCTCATGTCTGTTATCTCAGCACTTTGGGAAGCCAAGGCGGGCAGATAACGAGGTCAGGAGTTCGAGACCAGCCTGTCCAAAATGGTGAAATCCCATGTCTACTAAAAAATACAAAACTTAGCTGGGTATCGTGGTGCACGCCTGTGATCCCAGCTACTTAAGAGGCTGAGGCATGAGAACTGCTTGAACCCAGGAAGTGGAGGTTGCAGTGAGCCAAGATCGTGCCACTGTATTCCAGCCTGGGTGACAGAGCAAGACTCTGGCTGGCCAAAAAAAAACAAAACAAAACAAAACAAAACTATATCCAATACCTGCACTATATCCAAGAACCAAATTCTTTTAAATGCGAAACATTCATGAAGACAGAATATACGCTAGGCCATAAATCAAGCCTCAATAAATGAAAAAGGTTAAATGTTCTTGTTTATGTTCTCTGGCAACAACAGAATTAAATTAGATGTAATTAACAAAAAGATCCTTATATTAGAATAGGCTTAAATGTTTATATATGAAAAAAAGTTTAAATTCAG